GTCAGGTCAGTATTTCTCCCTCCGTGCACTAAATGACCATTATTGTGTCGACATGCACTTGCACGCTTATCGTTACTCACACAAAAGAAATGAGATCCTACAGGTCAGCTAGTAGCTACACTGTCAAGTCTTGGTGTGATTGCACCATCGTGGATTCACTCACCCATCACAAATCACTCTCACTGTTTACCTGGAAGCAGTTGTCTCTCATTAACTTCATTATATTTGCACGCCCTGTTTAAGACGGTCTCTCCTCATGCACAAACAAAGTGACATTGGTCTCGTTGTGAGGGTCACCCAAGTGCGGATGGTAGGAGGGAGGGCGCATGGTACTACTAACTTTTACTAGGGAAAATCTATAATTGGGTTGATAGCGGGTGCTCTGGTGTAGTTTGCCATGCTCCTTCTTTCGATCTCTCCTCCTTCTTTTTTTACATTTGTTACTCTCTGGTAATAAGTTGTAACACCCCTAACCTTCGGCACTTATATGACCTTAATGTGTTGCAAGTGCCGTAAAACTCTCACTAAAACAAATCTTTAATAGGATCTACTACTTTTCTTTCCCCAACTGGTGGTTTTTGGGTTTTTTCGTTTGTAGGTTTGTTTTGTTTGGGGTGGGAAGGGGTCGCTTTTGATAAGTTCCCACTCTTTAACATTTAAGTACATGTATCCCCCTTTCAAAACCAAAAAACCAAAAAACAAAAAAAGCCCCAACATTTCGGCGGCTTCCAATCTTTAGAGGTGGAATTGCTTTAACTTCTTTGCCATTTATCGTCGAAGGTGGGGGTTCAATCCCTGTGTGGGGGTGTCTATTCTATCGAGTGCATTAAGTATCTACGTCTGTCTGCCTGTATGGTGTATCCAATTTAGCGTAGGCTGGTCCTAATAGGCTGGGTCGAAGAAGCGAGCCCATCCTGAACTATGTAAATTTTATGTAGGTGGCCGTGTATTACATGTAGGATTATTTACAATCCTCCTTTCGCACTTACACATACAAAGAAGCATAATGTAGCCTTGTTTAACATTCTAACATTATGAACTTGACCTCACTGTCTCAAAGAGGTGGAAAAGACAACTAAAGTAGACACACCTGCACTCTTTAACATGATGTATGTGTTTTCACACTCTTTGACAAACGGGTGGGTGGGCGAGAGAGAGAGAGAGAGAGAGAGAGAGAGAGAGAGAGAGAGAGAGAGAGAG